ATCTTATCTTATCTTGTAGTATATTATCTTGTCTTGTCTTATCTGGTGATTATCATTGGGAGGAGGGAGGCGGGAGGCGGGAGGAAGAAGGAGGAGGAGGAGTGGGAGGCGTCAGAGTAATAACAAGAACCCCAATCCTTAGGATATGGGGAATAAACTTTCGGACGCCAGCGCGAACGTTTGTTCGGCTATCACTGCCCCTTCGCCCTAACCGACCCTTGAGGGCCCCTTTTCGTCGCCGCGCCCCGCGTCCTGGACCAACGCCTCGATGCCCTCCCACCGCGGGTCGTCTGGTCCAGCCAAGGGCAACACGACGCGCTCCACCTGCAGAGGGGGGGGCAGGAACTCGCCGGTGCCGAACACCGCTTAGAGGATCGAGGACTCCCGAGGATCGAGAGTCCTTGGTATATCTCGACTAGAACCACGCGCGCGCTGCGCGCGCGTAGGCTCCAACAAACCTCAGCCCTAGACAAGCTCACACCTGCACTCACCTACGTAGCCGCAAGTGGCTGAATCAAACCTTACAGAGACAATGAAAACGCGGACCGAGCAGAGACGCAGAGATATGATATATCCATTCAACGGTTCTGGTGTGCGAGCCCTTTAGTTAACGGGCGGGTCGGGCGGTGACCTTGGCGGATTGGCGGGTCCTAGCGGGCGGGAGCACGATTAGAGGGCGAGAGTGCGATTCCTGGGCGTCGAGTGTGCGTGCAGCGCATGGGTGATTTGTGGACATTCCAGGCGAGAGCGCGATCCCTGGGCAAGTTGTAAGGAAGTTTACAGCGAGAGAACGACTCGTTAATACGTTGTGAAGAAATCGACTGCGGGAGCCGTTGTTGTTGTAGTCTTGGCGCCAGCAACGCAGGTTGAGCAGAAAGACAGCCACTCACAATCAGCAGGGTGTGAGCGTCAGAGCGGGGCACTTCATTTGAAAAATGCAGTTGGGCACTGGTGGAGGGGGATCACCTATCATCAGTCTTCAGTCGTCTTCAGTACGAGTTCAACACCTTACCCCCTCCGAGGAGGCGGGGGGGAGGGGGGCATCGGAATTCTCTGACATTCGACGTCATGTTTTTTCACCACGTGGGCCCTTTGGGCCTCTCGACCACTCTTCAAGGGGCCAGCTGTCCATCCCAAGTGGGCTCCCTGGCGGCCCTGAGGTCCAGAACAACGCCCTCCCAACTCTCAAAGGACGAGAACGGGGGAAAACCTCCAGCGCGATGTCCTCAGGCCGCTGGACGTCTGGGCCCTCGCCCTGGAAATCTACCCCTGGACCTATCCCAGTGTGCGCTCGGGCTCGGGCCAGAATGTCCGATGGGGAGCCCAGCCGCGAGACCCACCCCATAACCGAGGGAAGCCCCAGACCGAGGAAACACCCAGAAAGCCGAAATAAGTGCAGGACTCCCCAGGTTCTCAAAGATGAGATTCTTCACGATTCCTGAAGATTCCTGAAATGTATGTGTGTGTGTGTGTCCTCGATGTTGATTATTCTGGTGAAGTGTTGGGCAGATATGGGGAAAGGGGCGGATTTGCTCATCTTTTATGACAGCTCAGACTGAGGACTCTGGGCTTGCTCGCTGCTTCCCCCTCCGCAGCGGCGCGTAGCGCTTCACCCCTGGGGGATTGGAGCCCTGGAGCGGTGAGCTCCCCAAAAATTCCGGCTGTTCCTAGGTTCGCCTGCGTTTTCCGTTGCTGGGGAGAAGTCCCGCCCAGCCGTGGCCGCGAGGGCGCCCCCGGGAGGCCGCCAGACGCCGGAGAAGCCTGGGCATGCCCGGGCCCCCTCTCCTCCGGGCGCCGCCTCAGCCCGCACGACGCAGTGCTGTAGGCGGTCGCCCGTTCTCGCCTGGGGGGCGCGGCGCGGCGCTCGGCGCTCGGCCCCTTCGCCGCATCCGTCCGCCGCCGCCGTCGCCGTCTCAGTCGCAGCCGCCGTCGTCGCCGTCGCAGTCGCCGCCGCCGCCGTCGTCGTCGCAGTCGTCGCCGTCGCCTTCGCAGTCGCCGCCGCCTCCGTCGCAGTCGCCACCACCGTCGTCGTCGCTGTAGTCGTCACCGCTGCCTTCGCAATCGCCGCCGCCGCCGTCGCGGTCGCCGCCGCCGTCCTCTTCCGTCCGCCCCCTCTCCTCCGCCTCCGCCCTCCGCCCTCCTCCTCCTCCTCCTCCTTCTCTGTACTCGTCCCCTCTCCTCTTTTTCCTCAGTATCCTCCTCTGCGCACTTCTTTCTCCACCTCTGCGAACCTCTGCACTCGTCCTCCGACGCCCCTCCTCCTCCAACACTCGTCCTCCTCCTCCTCCTCCTCCTTTGGCTGCGCCCTCCCTCCGCCTTTTTCCTTCACCCTCATCCTCATTCTCCGCCGCCCTCGCCTTCCGTCCTCCTCCTCCTCCTCCTCATCATCCCACTCGCTCCTTCTCTCTCCCCTTTCCTCCTCATCCCTTCATCCTCCCTGGTCCTCGTTCTCGTCCTCGTCGTCTTCCTTCTATTCTGTCTCGTAAATCGCCTCCTGCTTTCTCCTACGTACTCCTCCTCCTCCTCCTCCTCCTCCACCTCCTCCTCCATCTCCTCCTGTCGCTGGGCGACGAGGGCATCGGCGGCCAGGTCGGGCTGGGGGACCGCGCTGAAAGGTCAAGGTGCGGATTGGCACTCCCTCGGTTCACTGATTGCGGTGTGGCCTCCTCCCTCCATGGCGTTGACTCCCCGTCTGCGGTGTTTGAGTTAGCCGCAGGGAGTCACCCAGGTAGATCAAGTTGGCGTCAGGCAAGTCTTGACGCTTCTCGTATCCTCACAAATCAATCCAAAAGCAATCATCCGAGTTGCCCTGATCAGGGATGTGTGGCAGCCTGCAGTCACGCTCTAGGGGTCTCTTGGAGGCATCTTGGGGGCATCGCGGGTGGTTTAAGGGAGTGAACAGGGATGCCACGCATTCGGTGCTCCCTCTGGCGGAGGAGTGAGCCCCTTGTTTGCGGACGTTGTGGCGAGCGCAGGGGTTACTTCTCGATTTGACCAGTATCAGTCTCAGCCTCCATCTCATCCTCCTGCTCCTCCAGAGCAGCTGCGGAGGTAATGGGTCCAGCAAGAGTGGAGCGAGCAAGGGCGGAGGAGCGCCACGCAAGCGGCAAATTCCATCGCTGGCGATCGCGATGCCCAAGGTCGGGGGTGGACCTCGATAGTGCCTTGGATGGCGCCCTGGCCCGCCAGGTCGAACTGGGAGGCAACCCTCCAGCCGCGGCTGCGGCTAACTGTTTTGTGGATCTTGGGGTGGTGGTCTCCAGCAGCGACTGCTCCGATGTCGTGGAGGTGGAGGTGCCTCGACATACCAGGTTCGGCGAGCGTGGGACGCATCCAGACATGAGGCAGAGGGCGGGGGACTCGTGCAGCAGGTGCGATGGTGCCGGGGAGGAAGCCCACGCCTTGGAGCCTACACTGCCGCGAGCGCCTGGGTGGTTGTCCGACGACTCGCTTTCTTCGCCTGCCACCTCGTCGAGCTGGGACGCACACACCTCCCCAGCGACGCGGCTTCCAGCTCGGTCAGCTCAGGCCAGCGCGCGCGGCGCGTGCCGGGGAGCATAGCGGCGAGCAGCGCAAGCTCAGCTTGCGCTGGACAGTATGTCGACTTCAATGCTCGCCAGCTCAGCTGGCGAGCACCGAGGTCGACAATGCTGACAACAACTCGCGCGGTGATGCGGTGGACAATTTCTTCGATGTCCTGATCATCGCCGTGCATCGTGCTGAGCAAGTACGCGGGCACGATGCGGAATCCTTCGTGGCTCACCTCGGCGTGATGCAGCTTAGGCGGCGGAAGCGCCCGTAAATGGGCGCCCTGACAGCCCGACGACCTACAGCGCCACGCACCACAGGCTCAACTCGCTCGCAGTCTGCCCGTCTCGATGAGAGGAGACGTGCGTAACGTGTCTAACAGTTTCTTTTTCATCTGGGGCCCGCGGAAGAGGCAAGGCGGAAGCAACGGTGGTCGCTCCGTGCCTCTCCCCCGTCTCTTCTGATACCGTGGGCGCGAAAGGTGCCAGGGGCGCATACGAGGACATGAACATCACGTTGGTCTCTGGCCTGTCCTCCTCCTCCTCCTCCTCCTCCCCCTCCCCCTCCTCCGCGCCATCCTCCTCTTCGTCTGCCCCTTCCTCCTCTTGCCTCTTGCCTGGATGCGGAGGAAAGCGGGCCTTCGCAAAGAGAGGAAAACACCCGTGGCCGACTCCATCAGAGGAGACCTTTGTCGCTACTGATGGTTGATCCATCCCACTGCCAGCTCCCCCCTTCCTCCTTCTCCCCCTCTTCCTCCTGCCCCTCCTTCTCCTCCTCCTCCTCCTCCCTTTCCTCCTCCTCTTCCTTACCCCCCCCTTTCTCCCCCCATCCTCCTCTCCCATCCACCTGGAAATCCGAGGGATACTCTTCAGGTGTCCCGCGAAACCCTCATGAGGCCCAGAACGGACAAATAACTCTGAAACAACTCAATTCCGGTGAACGAGGGCGAAGAGAGAACAACTACCAGTAATACCAACCCTCATACTGATGATAGGTGGGAGGAGAAACAACACAATAGACTATTACACAAATGTTCATAAGAAAACTACAAAAAAGACTCAGATCATGTATGTCCATAACAATGATACTACTACGGCTACGGCTACGGCTACGACTACGATTACAAGTACTACTACTGCGACTACTACGATTACTACTACTACTACTACTACTACTAGTACTACTACTACTACTACTACTACTACTACTACGACTACGACTACGACTACGACTACTACTACTACTATTACTACTACTACTACTACTACTACTACTACTACATCTTTCCACTACTACTACTACTATTACTACTACTACGACTACTACTAGTACTACTACTACTACCACCACCACCACCACGACTACTACTACTACTACTTCTACTACTACGACGACGACGACGACGACGACGACGACGACGACGACGACGACGACGACGACGACGACGACGACGACGACGACGACGACGACGA